GATGGGTAACAACATCTTCAAATATTTGTTGAGATATGATAAGTGCTAAACTATTCTCATATCTTTCCTCCAAAGAAAAATTTTTTAAAAATGTTTTTAAGTGTATCAACATATTACCTAAAGAGGAGAGTTAGATAAACTATTACGTAGAAAACAAAAGTGCCAACACAGCCCTAATACAGTGATCATTCTTCATAGATATAAATCTATTTATCTTAGTATTTATGACCTATCTACTTTCTGAAAGATTTGGGGCAGAGTTCACAAAATTATTTATATAATTACATAAAGCAAAATACCTAAAATACCTATAATACCATTACACAAAGCAAAAATCAATTAAAACTTGCAAAGTAAGAGATGTTGTTGAATATGTGGGCTGTTATATATAAATTAAAACAGAGTTTAACTCAATTTGGGGAGGCTAAGGCAAAAAAGGGAAATAGGTTTACTTTGGGAGATACCATGGTATAATAGAAAGAATGCAAAACAAACCGAGGGTCACTGGAGGGGATGTGGGTGGGGAGATGGGGTAACTGGGTGATGGGCATTAAGAAGGGTACTTGATGTAATGAGCACTGAGTGTTATATGCAACTGATGAATCACTAAATTCTACCCCTGAAACAAATTCTATACTATGTGTTAACTAAACTGAATTTTTAAGAAATTAAAAAAAAAAAAATGCAGGATTAATAGGGAAACTATCTCAGTTCCAGTTTTGTTCCACTACTTCCTCAGAGCCGCACCTCTTTATACCTATTTTCTAAACTGTAAAATGGGAATAGTTATATTTAATAACATCACAGGACTGCTATGTAAAATTAGGTAATGTGAAAGCATTTTATAAACTCCAAAACACCATTCATTATTATTGTCTTTACTGACTTAATAGTTTAAAGTATGCACATAGTAAATTCAACTGGATGGAAATGTTCTTCCAGCACTAGGAACACACTAAAGAATGTCTGTATTAGAAAACTAAACATGTCTTCAAGTAGAGCTTTGAAAAAGAAATCCTATTCACATACATATTTTCATTATAAGCCTTGTATAAAAGCTGGAATTATACTGAACCACAATTCAGTGAAGGCAGTTCTGTGGAAAGATGAGAGGACAAGCTCCAAGTACATTCCTTTCTGATGGTTTACTTAACAGAGCAAGTTGGAAAATTAGATAGTTAGCTTATCTATTAGCCTGTCTCTCATAAGTATCAGAAGCCTCAAGCGAGCCTTTGGTAACTGCTAGATTGTAGTCAATTTAAGATTTCATTTTCTAGAAAAAGCATCAAGCACCACAACTCTGGAATACTGATTAAAAAAAAAAATCCCTGTATGATCCAAATATGCAAGAAGCAGAGTTAACAGTCAATAGTGAAACTTGAGTAACTGGACAACTTGACTGCACAAGAAAGCATCTTGTGGGGGTACCTGGGTGACTCAATCGGTTAAGCCTCTGACTGGGTTTCAGCTCAGGTCATGATCTCATGGGTAGTGGGATCGAGCCCTGCATGGAGGCAGGGGGTGGTCCATGCTCAATAGGGAGTCTGCTTGAAGATTCTGTCCCTCTCCCTCCCCCCCTCCCCCCCCACACGTGTGCACTGTCTCTCTCTAAAATAAATAAATCTTTAAAAAAAAAGAAAGAAAGAAAGAAAGAAAAGAAAGCATCTCCTGTCACACAGGGGTGGGCTACTGGCATGCCTATAAACAAGAGCTTTAAATGACAAGTATAGGCAATCATAAGAGCAAATCATAAAGTAGACTGTGAAACACATGTTCCCTGTTACTACATAAAGAAGCTGTAGTGGAAAAAAGCACTTCACAGAGATATAACAAAATTCTAATCCCAGTTCTGCCGCTATATGAGTAACTTTGGATAAAACACTTAACCTGTATGAGCCTTGGTTTCCTCATCTGTAAAATGAAAGGACTGCAAATTAGGAGACTTTCTTCTATCTCTAAAATAGTATACTTCTAAGGGCGCCTGGGTGGCTCAGTCGGTTAAGCGTCTGCCTTCGGCTCAGGTCATGATCCCAGGGTCCTGGGATCGAGCCCCTCATCGGGCTCCCTGTTCGGAGGGAAGCCTGCTTCTCCTTCTCCCTCTCCCACTCCCCCTGCTTGTGTTCCCTCTCTCGCTGTGTCTCTGTCAAATAAATCAATAAAATCTTAAAAAAAAAAATGGTATACTTCTAGGATTTAATTACTGTTGAACCAAATCAGAAATGTTGAATGAGACCATGAGGGGAAACAATATAAAATAATGAGATGATCGCTTAGTATTAAAAAAAAAAAAAATCTGTATTAAGTGAGGAACAGGTCAAAATCCAATTTGTGGCAAAGCAAAGCTTAACTTGTCTACAGAACAAGTTGTCTACAGAATTTGACTTATGGAAGTCTATGTACATTTAAAAGAGAGTGACCTGCTATCACCCAACATTAGGTAACAGCAAAAGGGTGTGGCTTAGAAAAATGTGCATTTATTTATTTCAACTATATGTTGAAATCAAATGAGGGTCTGGGGAAAACCCTTTTGTTGCAGTAAATTATTACAGGAATTAACATGTAACTATTCAGTCAAGGGTGAGCACAATTTCAGCACATAGTAAGATGAAGATCATCCTCCACTGAAACCATACTTCCTATTACCAAACAAAATCACCTCCTCCCAAGCCAGGAAAGAAACAAAGCAAAACTAACAATTCTACAGTGTTTACCCAGAGGCCTAAAATTTCATAAGCTTTGCTCCAATAATTCTATTCTGCAACTCCATACCAAGGAAATAATCCTGAACACAGAAAAAAAACCCATGCCTAATAAGGTCTATCACAAAAAAAAACACCAAAAAAACAAAAAACGGAATGTCTATCACTGAGTTATTTTAAAAAAAAAAAAAAGAGGAAATTAGGAATATAAATTTAACCAAAAAAATAAGGAATGGTTAAATAAAGCTATAGTATTTAATGGAATAAAATTTAGCCATTAAAAACAGACTGTTGGAGCATTAAAAAAAGTGTTCAAAGTGAGGCAAAACCCTCTAAAACATACAGATTTGTATATATAATATGATTTAAACTATATTTTAAAAAATAAAACATGTGGGGGGAAAAGACTGAAGCAGACACATGGTAAACCAGTTTTATATGACTGGTGAGAATATGGGTAAATTTTTATACTTTTCTGTGTTCCAAATTCTATTTAATGAATATACTTTATTTTAAATAATAAATGAGTATATAAAACAATTATTTCATTAATCATCAAAATATTCTTCTAAGTTAAATAAGGTACAAGTCAATGTTATTTAGCATGGAACACATTATCATGGAAATCCTGGAAATGCCCTGAAATCATTCTTTTAAAAATAGGCTGAATTTTTAAGAAAACTCTTCAAAGTTTTTTTTTTTTTTTAAGTCCTGGGAGATTTTTGAGAAGTTAATTCTGAGATTCCTACTTTATTTTTTTATTTTTTTAAGATTTTATTTATTTTTGACAGAGAGCACAAGCAGGGGAAGCAGCAGGCAGAGGGAGAGGGAGAAGCAGGCTTCCCGCTGAGCAGGGAGCCCGATGCGGGGCTCGATTCCAGGATGCTGGGATCATGATCTGAGCTGAAGGCAGACGCTTAACAGTCTGAGCCACCCAGGCACCCCAAGATTCCTACTTTTTAAAATGTAATTCTTAACATAAGACACTATGTATACATCAAGAATATGGCTGAACCAGATACTTCGAGTATGCAAAATCTGGCCTTCCAGCAACAATTATAACCAGATATTAGAAAAATAAAATAATTTACCTAGGATCTCTGCCAGTTAGTTAACAAGACCGAAAGCTAAATCCAGGTTTCTTGATGACCATTCTACTGATGTACAGGATAGATTTTTGATATAGTGGTTTATAAGCCAAGAATTGGAACTTACATTTTTTAAAATGCTGGTGTATTCAATGTTTTTTGTTTTAAAATTCAAAGCTACCTAAAACCCCTGAACTTGCCAGCACACACACACATGCCTCAGGCAATATTAAATTACTCATTCTTCTTGTTACCTGTTTTTCCAGGTTGGGTGTTTTTTTTTTAATTTTGTGTACATCAGGATCCACAGACACATGCATACATACATGTTTCCCTTACTTGCCAACCCCATACCTGTTTTCTTCTAGAAATAACAAATTTCTAAAAGGCTTCTCTTACTAAAAAGAACTTTCAAATATAATTAAGGAATAACTTTAAATTTTTTACATAAGAGAAATGTCTCCAATATGACATGTTAGTTTAAGTACTAACCACCATCCCTACTCTCTTTACTTTTCCCCTTTACCTTTCAACTCTAAGTAGGTTATCTCCAAACTTTCAAAAATGTCCCCACTGTACTATTTTCCAAATAATATCATTCACCTTTAGTGCTATGTTTAAACATACTCCAATTTCAGAATCCTATCATAAAATTCTTTGTTTATCTATACTTAATGAGGTTGGGGGAAGGGGTGAAAGTAAGTTTAAAAATGGGAAATGGCAGAAGTCCTTGCATCTCTTTGCACCTTCATAAAATTTTATGAAGGGCTTAGAAAACCATGATCTTTTCTATGAAACATTACCTTAAGAGCCACTATCAAATACTCAGTAAAATACCAAAATGAAGAAATACATGGTATATCGGACTTTTGAGAACAGACAGTATTGTAAAATCAAATAGGTAATAGGAAGAATCACAAATGAGGACCCACAGTTTGCAACTTTTCACTGCAGGAGCCTTCACATGCTTCCAAATCTCAACTAATATCCTGTCGTTCCTTCTTTGCCTTTTATGCTTCATATTTTTCTTCACTGACTTTTATTAACACTGTATCAATATTTTAACAGTAAGAAAAATACACAGTTCTCTTATGTACATATATTTAGTGCATTTTATTTTTTCAATGTTTTCTGATATTTAAATTAAAATATTAAGTCAATTATTGTTTACTTAAACATGATTTTAATTGTTTTTATTTGATTTTACTTTCAGGAAATCGGAGATGGTGGTTCTCTCAGAATGGTTCACTTTGGCTTGGTGTAAACAATAAAAAAACTTCCTTTTTACTTAAAAAAAAATTTTTTTATTTTTCACATCTAAATTTTTCGTGGCCTGGTACAGATTAGAATCTCCCTGTACAGATTAAAAAGAGGAAAAACAGTATGAATTAGTTAAGAGTTTTAAATTCAGAATATTCTCAAAATAAACTTTTATTAGTTTCAAAAACATGTACCATAACAGCAGTGATCCTAAGTAAAATCCTTAATTTATTTTCAATAATGTAAAATTTTCAAAGTTTCTTAAATTGTACACTATTAGGTGCTTAAAAAGTAAAATATTTAAACTTGGTTCTCCCGGGGTGCCTGGGTAGCTCAGTCATTAAGCGCCTGCCTTCGGCTCAGGTCATGATCCCAGGGTCCTGGGATCGAGCCCCGCATCTGGGCTCCCTGCTCTGCAGGAAGCCTGCTTCTCCCTCTCCCACTCCCCCTGCTTCTGTTCCCTCCCTCACTGTGTCTCTCTCTGTCAAATAAATAAATTAAAAATCTTTAAAAAAAAAAAACCCAAAAAACAAAAAACTTGGTTCTCCCAAGTATTTTAAACATTTCTTGTGATCTTGTTTACATTATTAATTTGCATTATGAATAAGAAATTTATTATGCAAAAATTTCCACCCAGACCCATAGTTGGGAGACAATTTTCTATGGGTCTCCTGAATTATTGCTATGAGGCAAAGAATGTCCCTTGGAGCCAGACACCATCTCTGCAGCACAGGTCAGGCATGCTTAGTGCCCAGTTGAAAAGTTTTATTTTCTTATTTGGTAAAGATTTTATTGCTAAGTAATTATGCCAAACATGGGGCTCGAACTTACAACCCCAAGATCAAGAGCTGCATGCTCCACTGACCAAGCCAACCAGATTCCCCACCCATTTGAAAAGATTTAAAGTTCCTTAAGCTCAGAGTTCCTATCCTTTACATAGCCCACTGAGTGTGCAGGTATCATCTGACCCTCTTTACATTACCCTGTGGGAATGGGCTTTGGAATCAATGCCCCCACCAAAAGTTGACACTCCAGCTACTATTACTATGAGTAATAAACTGTCTTTTGTTTCTGACTCTGGAGTCTCATGTCTTCTACCAGCATGAAACTGTTGCTTGGTAACTTCTTAGCTTACAAGTAGGGTAAAAATCTCAAACCCTTCATAGTTCTTGACACCCATTCATTAGCAGATAGCATATATTTTACAATAGTAAATGTTTAGAATAATCAACATCTTTTTCAAATGTTGTACATGAGGTAAATTATATATTTAAATGTTATAGTTAAAAGTTAATTAAATTGAAGGCTTTTATACTTCAGATTTTTCTCCCTGCTTCCTATTCATCTGTACTTCTACCAGACGGTATGACGAAGAAAGGAAGTAAAACTCAAATTAGATTTTTCAGTTTGCTACTGCTCTGGAAAAGATTTAGTAATACATGGTATGTGAGCCATACTAAAAAGAGATGTATTTACCAGCAAATTTTCATTTTACTATTCCCATCCTTCTTTATCACAATAATCAAAAGTTAACTAATGTTTTTAAAGAAAAAATTGTATTGAGAAAGTATAGTTCTGTCAAATTGCACACATTTTCTCCAAATTTTCTAATAAATAGTCATTAACTAAAAATACAAACCACATTTCCTGATCTACCATATCCTTTTATTCATTTCACCACAATCTTCCACAACGATGTGAGAGACTGGTAGAAAAGTTCAGTTTTATTTCTAGGTCCTATGTAAGTAGACATAGTCTATGCTAAATAGATATAGTCAATGCAAAAAAGTAAAAATTTAAATGAGACATTAAGATAAAATATACATATAAATAAAACTATTTTGTCCTATATAATCATAATGATGATAAGTCTGCCAGTTACCTAAATGAAAACTAAACAAAACAATTTTAATTCTTAAATAAATTGCCCATTTTCCCCCTTCACGTGCCTCTGGAAAAATTAACTCAAATATATAGAAAACCATGTCTAGACAGCAATAAGAATATATTATACAAGAGATCCTTGACAATATCCATCTATAAATGTTGTGTTTTCCCAACACTGTGAACCTGGGGATGTTTACTAATTAATTATTCCAAGAAATTAATATTCCTGCTCTGCTACCACCACAGCTCTAAAGTGAGAATAGTGGCATAGACAAGAACAGCTAGGAAGCACGTGCACTAAGAGGCTCACTTTCTCATTTAGGAATGGATCTATGAGCTTGTCTGACTATTCTTCAAAATGCTCAGATCTCAAATAATTTCCACAATAATTCATATTAGCTATGACACTGTGTCTTTTACCAGAATAAACTGTTTGCAATACCTATCTCTTAATGGTTTTGGTTCATTAAAAAGCCAAATAACCCAAACTAATATTACATTTTTTTCTTACTATCTATACAATAATAAAAATAAGAATTATCAAATTTGCAAGTAATACTATATTCTAAAACTTCATTAGTTATATTTTTAAAATACATAAAAACAGGGGCGCCTGGGTGGCTCAGTCATTAAGCATCTGCCTTCGGCTTGGGTCATGATCCCAGGGTCCTGGCATCGAGCCCCACGTCGGGCTCCCTCCTCTGCGGGAAGCCTCCTTCTCCCTCTCCCACTCCCCCTGCTTGTGTTCCCTCTCTCACTGTCTCGCTCTCTCTGTCAAATAAATAAAATATTTAAAAAAAAAAAGACACAGCAATGAAATAGAATGGTAAGCCCAGAAATAAACCCTTACAGACGTAATCAAATGATTCTGATTTTCAACAAGAGTACTATGACCATTCAATTGGGAAAGAACTATCTTTTCAACAAATGGTGCTGGGAAAACTGGATATCCACATGCCAACGAATGAGGTTGAACCTTATCTTGCACCAGACAAAAAAATTAACTCAAAATGGATCAAAGATCTAAACGTTAAGGCCTAATTTATATAATAATACTCTTACAAGGAAATATGCGGGAAAAGTTCATTACACTGGATTTGGCAGTGATTTCTTGGATATGACACCAAAAGTACAGACAACAAAAGTAAAAATAGATTAAATTGAACATCAATATTTAAAACTCTGTGACTCAGAAGATACTATCAACAGAGTAAAAAAGTAACCTACAGGATGGGAGAAATATTTACAAATCATGTATCTGGTAAGAACTCCTAAAACAACAACAAAAAAACAAAGAGCCCTATTAAAAATGGGCAAAGACCTTGAATAGACATTTCTCCAAATGTAATATATAAATGGCCAATAATCACATGAAAAGGTATTCAACATCATTAACTATTAGGGAAATGCAAATCAAAACTAGAATGAGATACTACTTTACCACATTAGAATGGCTATTATTTAAAAAAAAAAAAAAAGTCACCAAGGATGTAGAAAACTGGAACCCCTGTGAACTCTTGATTGTAATATAAAATGCTATAGCTGGTATGGAAAACATACAGTGGTTCCTCAAAAAATTAAAAATAAAATTGCCATCCAACAATTTCACTTCTGGTATATACCCAAAAGAATATAAAGTAGGGATTCAAATATTTGTACACCCATGTTCACAGAAGCATTATTCACAATAGCCAAAAGATGGAAACAACCAAGGTATCCAACAAAGTATGAATAAATTAACAAAATGTGGTATATACACACAATAGCATGTTCAGTCTTAAAAAGAAAGGTAATGCTGACAAATGCCACAGCATGGATGAACCTTGAAGACATTATGCTATGTGAATAAGCAAGTGACAGACAAACGCTGTGTGATTCCACTTATAGGAGGTATCTGGAGTAGTCAGATTCACAGAAGCAGAGAGGAGAATGTGGTTACCAGGTGCTGGGAGGTGGGAGAATCAAGAATTGTTTAACAGGGGGCGCCTGGGTGGCTCAGATGGTTAAGCGTCTGCCTTCGGCTCAGGTCATGATCCCAGGGTCCTGGGATTGAGTCCCGCATCGGGCTCTCCGCTCCTTGGGAGCCTGCTTCTCCCTCTACTTCTCTCTCTCTGTCTCTCATGAATAAATAAATAAAATCTTTAAAAAAAAAAAAAAAAAAAAAAGAATTGTTTAACAGGTATGGGGTTTCAATTTTGAGAGACAAAAAAGTTCTGGAGACTGGCTGCACAACAATGTGAATATATTTAACACTACTGAACTGTACACTTAAATCTGATTAAGATGATGAATTTTATGTTTATGTGTATTTTATCACAATTTTTAAAATATGCATATAACGGGGTACGTGAGTGGCTTAGTCAGTTAAGTGTCCGACTCTTGATCTCAGGGTTGTAAGCTCAGCATGGATAACATACAGGTTTACCTTATTATATGACCTTGAAGGCTCTGAAAGAAGTACACTGAGATTGGTTATCTTCTTAAAATAACTCCAAAAAAGAGCTAAATTTCAGAAGTACCAAGATTTTTCTAAATTTTAATAACCTAGAAGTATAATCCTAGTTAAATAACACCAATTTGCTTTTTAAAAAAGTCATGGGGATTAAAACACAATTCTTAAAAAACTCACATTGTGGAGAATTTGGGAAGATGGTGAAGTAGGAGAATCCTGAACTCACCTCCTTCCATGATCACATCCAAGGCTGCAACTACATATAGTGTAACTCAATGGGGAAATGACCTAAAGACTAACAGACTAGCTCTTCCACAGCTAAAAATGTAAAGAAAAAGCCACATCAAGAAGGGTAGAAGGGGGAGGGGGGAAAGAAGGGTAGAAGGGCCAGAGATGTGGCTAGGAATCAAAACCCTGGTGCAGTGACCCACAAGCAAGTGGGATATCAAAAGTGTAGAGGTCCTCCCTGAAGAGCAAGGGGACCAAGCCCGACATTAGGTATATTCTCCACCTGGTGATCTGTGCTGCGAGGACAGGCCCCCATAATGTCTGGCTTTGAAAATCAGCAGGGCTTAACTCCAGAAGAACTGGAGGGCTATAGAACTGAGATTCTATTCTTAAAGAAACCAGCATATTGTAGCATTCACTCCAACACCCAGAAGAGGGGCAAGTGTTCAAAAAGCACGTGGGCCCTACATGAAGAAAACTTTTGACTACCTTTAGGACATGTGCTAGAGGGGCAGGGATCAGTAGGAACTTTCCTGGGAATGGAATTGCTGATGAGCACCATTATTCTTGATGCCCTTCAGCCTCACTAGCCCAACATTGGTGGAAGACAGCACTGACGATCTCTATCTAACTTGCTAGCAGGGCTTACCCAGCCCCAACATTCCCCCAAACACCCACTCCCACCCTACCTGCCCACCTCAACAGGCACAGCTCCAAAGTGTCTTCTGCCCCAGTAAGGGGGTCCAGCACCACCCGCCAGCAAGTCCACAATAGTTATAGCAGAGCCTGTCAGCCAGCTCTGCCAGAGGCTAATCCCACCAACCAGCACCCCCTCAGCAGCATCAGCCAGGCCTTTCCACCATCTGTGCCAGGGAATGGCCCTGCTCACCAATATGCTGGCAGTAGTCACACCCAGTCATTGCAGTCAGCCAATCTAACCCAGACCCACCATCAGAATGCCCATTAAACTTGTGGCTCAGTCATTAACAGGAGGATGCATGCAGCTCACACAGGAGACATTCCTGAAGCACCTGGTTCTGGTGACCAGTGGATTGCACTACTGCCCCCCCACACCACCGACACCCTGTATACAAAGCCACTATTTTCAAGGCCAGGAGACATAGCTGACCTAGCAAATACATAGAAACAAACACAGAGAGTCAGACAAAATTAAAAGAAGAACAGTCTAAACAATAGAACAGGACAAACCCCAGAAAAAGAACTGAACAAAATGTAGGTAGGCAATCTACTGATAAAGAGTTCAAAGTACTGTTTGCAAAGATGCTGTTTGCTTTTACTAGTGAGATATTTTTCCTTTCATAATGTTCTTACTTTTAGTTATGGCCTTTCCTCCAGATTTGAGAGAAGAGTGGATGAATTCAGTGAGAGTATCAACAAAGATATAAAATATTTTTAAAAAATAAGAGCTAAAGAATACAGTAACAGAAATGAAAAACATACTAGAGGGAGTTGAAAGCAGATAGAGGATGCATAAGAACAGATTAATGATCTGGAAGACAGAGTAGTGAAAACCATCAAAGATGAACAGCAAAAAGAGGAAAGAATTTTAAAAATTAAGATAGGTCAAGCAGGGGTGCCTGGGTGGCTCAGTCGGTAAGCGTCTGCCTTCGGCTCAGGTCATGATCCCAGGGTCCTGGGATCGAGCCCCACATCGGGCTCCCTGCTCTGCGGGAAGCCTGCTTCTCCCTCTCCCACTCCCCCTGCTTGTGTTCCCTCTCTTGCTGTGTCTCTCTGTCAAATAAATAAATAAAATCTTAAAAAAAAAAAAAATAGGTCAAGCAACCTCTGGGATGACATCAAGAATACTAACATTCACATTATAGGAGTCCCAGGAGGAGAAGAAAGAGGAAAAGAGGTAGAAAAGTTATTTGAAAAAGTAATAGATGAAAACTTCCCTAACCTGGAGAAGGAAACAAACATCTAGATCCAGGAAACACAGAGACCTAAACAAGATGAACCAAGAAGGTCCACACTAAAACACATAATTATTATAATGGCAAAAATTAAGAAAAGGAGAGAATCTGAAAGCAGTGAGGGAAAAGCAATTAGTTACATACAAGGGATACCTCATAAGGCTATCAGCTGATTTCTCAGCAGAAACTTTTCAGGCCAGAGAAGAGTGGCATGATATATTCAAAGTGCTGAAAGGAAAAAAACCTACAACCAAGAATACTTCACCTGGCAAGTTTATTATTCAGAATTGAAGGAGCAACATAGCATTTCCCAGACAAACAAAAGTTAAAGAAGTTCATCACCACTAAACTGTACAAGAAATGTTAAAGAGCCTTCTTTAAGCAGAAAAGGAAAGGCCATAACTAAAAGTAAGAACATTATGAAAGGAAAAATATCTCACTAGTAAAAGCAAACATATAACATAGCAGTCAATCACTTATAATGCTAGTACAAAGTTTAAAAGACAAAGGTAGGGGGACACCTAGGTAGGCCACATCGGGCTCCCTGATCACTGGGGTGTCTGCTTCTCCCTCTGCCTGCTGCTCCCCCTGCTTATACTCTCTCTCCTTCTCTCTCTGACAAATAAAATCTTTAAAGAAAAATTCTCAAAAGACTAAATTAAAAAAAATTTTTTTTAAAGACAAAGGCAGTAAAATCAATTATGTCTACAAAAATTAGTTGAGACATGCAGAATAAAAAAATATACATATGACATCAGACACCTAAAACGTGGAAGGGGGAGTAAAAATATAGTGCTTTTAGGATGTGTTCTAACATAGGTACCCATCAACTTAAAAAAAAAAAATGGACTACTATAAACATAGAGGAGGTTATATTCTATGAGCATCACAGTAACCATGACCAAAAACCTGTAGCTAGATACACAAGAAAATATAAAGAAAGCCAAGTATAACATTAAAGCCATCAAACCACAAGGAAAGAGAGCAAGAGAAGAATGAACAGAGAACTAAAAAAAACAACGAGAATACATTTAACAAAATGGCAATAAGTTCATAACTAACAGTAATTGTTTTAAATATAAACAGACTAAGGGCTCCAATCCAAAGACATAAAGAGACTGAATGGATTAATAAAAATTTAAAAAAAGACCAATCTATATGCTGTCTACAAGAGACTCACTGTATTTATTTATTTATTTATTTTAAGTAGGCTCCTTGCCCAGCATGAAGCCCAATATTGGGCTTGAACTCACCAACTCACTACCCTGAGATCAAGAGTTGGATACTTAACCGACTGAGCCACCCAGGAGCCCCAAGAGATTCACTTTAGATCAAAAGATACATACAACCTGAAAGCAAAGGGATGGAAAGAGATACACTATGCAAATGGAAGAAAACAGAATAAAGGCCTTATATGAAAAACCCACAGCCAACATTATACTCAATGGTAAAAAACTGAGCCTTTTCCCCTACGGTCAGGAACAAGATAAGAACATCCACTCTCATCACTTTTATTCAACATAGTACTAGAAGCCCTAGTCACAATGATTACACAACATAAAGAAATAAAAGGCATCCCCATTTGGCAAGGAAGAAGTAAAACTCTATTTACAGATGACATGAGACTATATATAGAAAACCTTAAAGACTCCATCAAAAAACTACTAGAACTGATAAATGAATTTGGTGAAGTTGCAGGATACAAAATCAACATACAAAATTCTGTTGCATTCCTATATACTAATAATGAAGCAGCAGAAAGTGAAATTAAGAAAACAATCCCATTTACAATTACACCAAAAACAATATCTTAAAGAGGTAAAAGACCTGTTCTCTGAAAACTATAAACCACCAATGAAAGAAATTGAAGAAGACATGCAAAAAAATGGAAAGACATTTCATGCTCATGGATTGGAAGATCAAATATTGCTAAAATGGCTATACTACCCAAAACTATTTACAGATTAAATGCAATTCCTACCAAAATACCAGTAACATTTTTCACAGAACTAGAACAAACAATCCTAAAATTTGTATAGAACCACAAAAGATCCCAAATAGCCAAAGCAATCTTGAAAAAGAAAAACCAGAGGTATCACAATTCCAGATTTCAAGTTATATTACAAAGTGGTAGCAATTAAAACAGTATGGCACTGGCATAAAAACAGATCAATGGAATAGAATAAAAAACACTCAGAAATGAACCCACAATTACACAGTCAATCAACAAAGGAGGAATGAATATACAGTGGGAAAAAGACAGTCTCTTCAACAAATGGGTGTTGGGAAAACTAGACAGCAACATGAAAAAGAATGAAACTGAATCACTTTCTTTTACTATACACAAAAATAAACTCAAAATGGATTAAGGACCTAAATATGAGACTTGAAACCATAAATATCCTTGAAAAGAGCACAGGCAGTAATCTCTCTGACATCAGCCATAGCAACATTTTTAAAGATCTGTCTCCTGAGACAAGGGAAATAAAAGAAAAAATAAACAATTTGGACCTCATCAAAATAAAAAGTTTCTGCACAGTGAAGGAAACAAACAAAATGGAAAGGTAACCTAATGAATAGGAGAAGATATCTGCAAATGACATATCCAATAAAGGATTAGTATCCAAAGTATCTAAAGAACTGATACAACTCAACACCCCAAAAACAAATAATCCAATTAAAAAATGGGCAGAAGACACAAGCAGACTTTCTCCAAAGAAGACATACAGATGACCAGCAGACACATGAAAAGATGCTCAGCATCACTCATCTTAAGGGAAATGCAAATCAAAACCGCAATGAGGTATCATCTCACACCTGTCAGAATGGCTAAAATCAAAAATAAAAGAAACACGTGTTGGCAAGGATGTGGAGGAAAATGAACCCTCATGCACTGTTGGCGGGAATGTAAACTGGTGCAGCCATTGTGGAAAACAGCATGGAGGTTCCTCAAAACGTTAAAAAATAGAACTACCCTATGATCCAGGAATCACACTCCTGGGTATTTATCCCCCTAATACAAAAACACTAATTCAAAGGGATACATGCACCCCTATGTTTATTACTGCAGTATTTAAAACAGCCAAACTAGGGGCACCTGGGTGGCACAGTCACTTGAGCGTCTCAGTTTTGGCTAGGGTCATGTTCTCAGGGTGGTGAGACTGAGTCCCACATCTGGCTCTGCTCTCAGCATGGAGTCTGCTTCAGATTCTCTCTCCCTCTCCCTTTGCCCTTCCCCCTCGTGCTCTCTCTTCTAAAACAAATAAATAAATCTTTTAAAAAATTTTTATTTTATTTTTTTAAAAGATTTTATTTATTTATTTGACAGAGTGATACAAAGCAAAAGAGGGAACACAAGCAGGGGGAGTGGGAGAGGGAGAAGCAGGCTTCCCACTGAGCAGGAAGCCCGATGCGGGGCTCGATCCCAGGACCCTGGGATCATGACCTGAGCCGAAGGCAGATACTTAACAACTGAGCCACCCAGGTGCCCCCCCCAAAATTTTTTTTATTTATTCATTTGAGACAGAGAGATAGAGAGCATGAGCAGGGGGAGGTGCAGAGGCAGAGGGAGAAGCAGGCTCTCTGCTGAGCAGGGAGCCAGATGTGGGTCTCGATCCCAGGACCCTGGGATCATGACCCGAGCCGAAGGCAGAGGCTTAACCATCTGAGCCACCCAGGCGCCCCCAAAAATTTTTATATAAAATAGCCAAACTGTGGAAGCAGCCCAAGTGTACACTGATAGAGGAATGGATAAAGAAGAGGTGATATACACAAACATACACACACAAACACACACACATACACTGGAATATTACTCAGTCAAATCAAAAAGAATGAAATCTTGCCAACTGCAATGACACAGACAGAGCTAAGAAGTATAATGCTAAGTGAAATAAGTCAGTCAGAGAAAGACAAATAGCATATGATCTTACGCATATGTGGAATTTAAGAAACAAAACAGATAAACATAGGGGAAGGGGGAAAAAAGAGGGAAGCAAATCATAAGAGACTCTTAATTATAGAGAAAACAAACTGAGGGTTGATGTAGGGAAGGGATGGGGGAATGGGCTAAATGGGTGATAGGTATTAAAGAGGGCACTTGTTGTAACAAGCACTGGGTGTTATATGTAAGTGATGAATCACCAAATTCTACTCCTGAAACCAATATTACTCTATATGTTAACTAACTAGAATTTAAATAAAAACTTGAACAAAACAAATGAACAAAGAAAAAAAAGATAAACCAATAAAGAGACTCTTTATAACATAATTATAAAGATTATATAAACATATAATTATAAACAGATGGTTACCAGAGGGGAGATTAGGGGAGTTGGGTAGGGGAAATAGGGGATGGGGATTAAAGAGTACACTTACCATGACCAAAAAAAAAAAAAAAAACTATAAGACACCGATGAATGAACTGAATATGACACAAAGAAATGGAAAAATATTCCATGCTCATGGATTAAAAGAATAATATTGTTAAAATGTCCATAGTACCCAAAGGAATCTGCAGATTCAATGCAATCCCTATCAAAGTATCAATAGTATTTTTCACAAAACTAGAGCAAATAATCCTGAAATTTGTATGGAACCACAAAAATCCCAAATAGCAAAAACAATCTCAAGAAGGAAGAACAAAGCTGGAGGTATCATAATCCCAGATTTCAAACTATACTACAAAGCTATACAACTATACAATGGTAATCAAAACAATATGGTACTGGCACAAAAACAGAAACATAGATTAACAGAAGAGAATAAAGAGCCCAGAAATAAACCCACATTTATATGGTCAATTAATCTATGACAAAGGAAGCAAAGGCAAAAGTAGACAATGAGGAAAAGACAATCTCTTTTTTATTAGTTTTTAAAGTAGCCTACATAGCAAATGTGGGACTTGAACTCACGACCAGTGGGAAAACTGGACATTTACGTGCAAAAGAATGAAACTGGACCACTCTCTTATACTATATAGAAAAATAAACTCAAAATCATTAAAGACCTAAATATGAGACCCGAAACCATAAAACTCCTAGAAGAAAACAAGTGCAGTAAACTCATGGACATTTGTCTTAGCAATATTTTTGGATCTGACCCCTCAAACATGGACAACAAAAGCAAAACAAATATATTTTTTTTTAAGCAAAAACAAGGGCACCTGGGTAGCGCAGTCAGTTAAGCATCTGACTCTCGATTTCAACTCACGTCATGGTCTGAGGGTCGTGAGAGCAACTCCTCTTTCGGGCTCCATGCTGGGCATGCAACCTGCTTGGGATTCTCTCTCTCCCTCTACCCCTCCTCACTCGCTCTCTCTCTCAAAAAAAAAAAAGGCAAAAAATAAATAACTGGGACTACATCAAACTAAAAAGCTTTTACATAGTGAAGGAAACCAACAACAACAAAAAAAGGCAGCCTACTGAATGAGAGAAGAGATAATATCCAAAATATATAAAGAACTCAGAAAACAACACCAAAAAACCAAACAACCCAGTTTAAAAAATGGGCAGAGGTGATCTGACTTAACATTTTTCTGAAGACATACAGATGGAACAGACATATGAAAAGATGTTCAACATTATTAATCATCAGTGAAACAAACCAAAACCACAATGAGATATCACCTCACACCAGTAGGAATGGCTACTATCAAAATGACAAGAAATAAGTATTAGCAAGGAGGTGGAGAAAAGAGAACCCTCACGCACTATTGGTGAGAATGTAAACTGGTACAGCCACTATGGAAAACAGTATGGAGGATTCCTCAAAAAAATTGAAAACAGAATTACCATATGATCTAGTAATTCTACTTCTGGGTATTTACCTGAATAAAACAAAAACATTAATTTAAAAAGATTTACCCCTACATTTACTGGGGCACTATTTATAATTGCCAAGCTACAGAAGCAAGCTAAGTATCTACAGACAGATGAATAAATAAAGAAGATATCTACACAAAGGAGTATTACTCAGCCATAAAAAAGAAGGAAATCTTGCCATTTGTGTCATGGATGGACCTAGAGGGTATTATGCTAAGTGTGATAAGGCAGATGGAGAATGAGAAATAGCAAATAATTCATTATATGTGGCATCTAAAAAATAAATGAATAAACAATAAAAAAACAGAAACAAACTCATAAATACAGAAAATAAATTGGTGATTGCTAGAGGGGAGAGTGTGGGAAGATGAGCAAAATAGTTATAAAATAAGTCAAAGGGATGAAATGTGCAGCATAGGGAATACAGTCAATAATATTGTAATAACTTGGGACGCCTGGGTGGCTCAGTCGGTTAAGCGTCTGCCTTCAGCTCAGGTCATGATCCCAGGGTCCTGGGATCGAGTCCCGCATCGGGCTCCCTGCTCCACAGGGAGCCTGCTTCTCCCTCTGCCTCTGCCTTTCTCTCTCTATCTCTCATGAATAAATAAATAAAATCTTTAAAAAAAAATATTGTAATAACTTTGTGTGGTGACAGATGATGCTTTACACTTATAGTGAGCATTTCATAATGTATATTATTGTCAAATCACTATGTTATACATCTGAAACTAATATAACATTGTATGTGAACTATATATACTTACAATAAAATAATTTTAAAAATAAAGGGGCACCTGGCTGGCTTAACCTGTAGAGCATGCAACTCTTGCTCTAAGGGTCGTGAGTTCAAGTCCCACATTTGCCATGTAGGCTACTTAAAAAACTAATAAAAATAAAAATAAACTGAAAAATAAAAAATCCAGATTTAATTTTGCTCTGCTAAAAATCTACTTTGATATTCTACTTCCATTCTCAAAGAAAACAAGCAGCATTCCTTAATTCTCTCACAATTTTTTTTTTTTTAGAGAGGGAGGGAAGGGGGGCAGAGAGAGAGGGGGAGAGAGAATCTTAAGCTCCACGCCCAACACAGAGCCTGATCTCACGACCCTGAGACCATGACCTGAGCCAAAAATCAAGAGTTGGACACTTAACCAACTGAGCCACCCAGGCACCCCAGTCTCACAATTATTCTAACATAAACTACACACAAATATTTTCATGAGTTATATAAGTTTCTTAAAACTTTTCTTGTAAGTAAGCTCTATACCCAATGCAGGGCTTGAACTCATGACTCCAAGATCAAGAGTCACATGCTCTACCAACTGAGCCAGACAGATGCCCTTAAAACTTTTATTTTTTATTTTTATTTTTATTGTTAATTCATTTATTTATTTTTAAGTAGGCTCCATGCCCAGCATGGAGCCCAACATGGGGTCTGAACTCACAACACTGAAATCAAGACCTGAGCTGAGATCAAGAGTTGGATGCTTAACTGACTGAGCCACCCAGGTACCCCCAAACTTTTATTTTTTAAGTATTAAAATAATTTTATTTAGGGGCACCTGGGTGGCTGTCGGTTAACCGTCTGCCTTTGGCTCAGGTCATGATCCCAGGGTGCTGGGGTCAAGTCCCGCATCTGGCTCCTTGCTCGACAGGGAGCCTGCTTCTCCCTCTGCCTGCCGCCTCCCCTGCTTGTTCTCTCTCTCTAACAAATAAAATCTTAAAAAAAAAAAAAATAAAGCAATTTTATTTAAAGTCAGTATTTCTACTCTATCACTCAACTATTTACGATAGTTACAAATCATTTTCAGACCATCTCCTGTTAGGAAAAAAGTATGCTTTATTTAAATTCCCTTTAAATATTTCTTAAATATATGTACATTAATTACAAACCACATTCCTCATACTATAACAACTATCTTTACTTTTCATGGTCATTTTAATATTCACCTATATGCATTTATAGCTTTTACCTGTTCATTCAAAAACATAAACAAGTGGACAATGTTTTTATAGATTTAACTATTTTGTTTAAAAGCAAATTTGTACTTGTATAATGAGATGAAGTTCAAAATAATATCAACTTTTATGTAAAAATTTTTAAAAATACCCTTACCAAGTGAGTTACCTCAATAAAGTGGGAAAATCCAAATAGAATATTTAATGGCACTATTTCACCACATAAAACATCAGAGGCACCTTTTCCATGAATCTCTATGGAAGTCTAAGAAAAATATGTTTATGAGATTTATTTAA